AAGAGACTGCTCATATGTAAGAATTTCAACATGAACAGTTCGGCTTAATCCAGTGGTGCAACTAACACACAGGTACCTAGTGGACCCCTGGTGGACCATTCATACCATTTATGTACACTAGTACACATATATAGTGATTATTTCCGATCCATGATCGCATCAGTCAATATGCCCCGCATGAACAGTCCAATTTGATCCATCTCGCTTACATTGTGGTGTGTGCTACTTATACGAACGATATAAGTAGTATAAGAAGGGACTTGAAAGAAGAAGTCTCACGGTCAGAAGAGGAAAACGGAAAGCAAATGGATCAAAAGCAAGAAGTAAATGGAGTAGTACCAACAGGAAGGAAAGGAAGCAACAGCAGGCGCGGAAGATTGTTTTAAGCAAATTTACACTCTTAGTCAATTAAAAACGAAAACGTTGCATTGAACACTCTATTTGCACACCATCTTTGAGTACTGACTTCCAACGTTCCAGCCTTCTTCCATTCCTGTTGTTGCTTCCTTTCCTTCCTGTTGATACTCCACTTACTTCTTGCTTTTGCTCCATTTGCTTTCCGTTTTCCTCTTCTGACCGTGAGACTTCTTCGTTCACGTCCTTTCTTATACTACTTATATCGTTCGTATAAGTAGCACACACCACAACATGACTGTCAAACTCATTATTATTATTATTAACAATGGTGATATGTGCACTACTACAGCACCGCAATGACAAAAGCCCTCGGGAATGTTACAAAACAACCACCACCACCACGAGTAATCAATGAAATCGGTCACCCTGCTAATCAATTTTATATACGGATTGTTAGTAATACTTGCTCAAAGCAAAGCCAAGCATATCCATAATGTTTAACACAGCGAATGTCTAGTCTCATAGAGAAACTTTCAACTCTATTATATAGCAGCAGCAGTGTATAGCAGCATATGGTGTACACACACATATATTACATGACAGACTCAAAATACGAAGAAACAGACAATTTAGTTTAACTCTACTTGTATATAACAGATCAAAGTATCATACATGAGTACATTAAAAAGATAATTTTTTTTTTAAAAAAACCAATGCACTTGATTATGTACAACAATTATAAATTATGCACTCAAAATGCATAAACTGCTTGAGTACAATTAAAATTAAAGTGAACTTTTTCAATATGATGATATTTACGTGTGTTAACTAACATGTGAGGTGTTAACATGCATAGAACGAATCAATGCGTAGAAGAATCATGTAGGAAGTTATTTACTTGAATAGGGAGGGAATTTGTTGGGTGAGTGTTGACGTGCTAGTTTGGTGTACCAGGAGAATGTATACATATTAGTAATAAGTAAGCGGGAGTAACTATGACTCTCTTAAGGTAGCCACCAAATGCCTCGTCATCTAATTTAATGGGTATATTAGGTGACGCGCATAAATCGAGACTTCTGAAGGTTGTGGTGGCGGCCAGGCAACGTGGCCTTGTTTACAGTGCTGCGGCTAAAAGCCGTTCCGAACGCTTAGGATACCGTGCCTAGCTAGCATGGTCCAGAATAATGGTACGTGTTCATGGTCGCAAGGCTGTGGATGCGGTTAGCCACTCTGGGGGATTAGGACTGAAGGCCTCTATGTCTGAATCCCGTCCATCGAGCGTAGGTAAATTCCGATAATGGTTTGAGGACTTGTCCTCTATCATTCCGTAGTAGCAAATATCTTGAAAGGGATGAAGCTTTCCAGCTTTCTTGAAGGCAGCCCTAGACATTCTGTTTGGGGAAGCAGCCGTAGATATCCTAGACTATTGACGCCGACCCTATTTGGTTGTCCCGAACACTCTGCATCTCGGTGTATTGTGTAAACTGGTGTCGAGGCCCCTTAAACAAGGGTCTCCAATTGGGTTACGTGATCCGGTGCTAAAGGGCACTCGACGCCAATGATGTCTGCTCACTTTTGTGGGATCAACCCTGCTTGGCTGAGTGCTCGCGCTTGGTTCAGTTCATGACATCTTTCTCATGGCAGTGTGTACGTTGCGGCTGACCTTGTGGGACAAACTCGATCTTTAGCTTTATGTGGGGTCTAAGAGCTCCGGTCGATTGTATCAGCGTAAGGCAGTTAGAGGCCAGACGGTTGGAATGGCGGCTGGTTAGTGAACTGCTGGGTGGCTCGATTTTCCGTTCAAGGTGCCAGGTCCGGCTAGATAAGCCCGCCTTGCCACCCATGCCGATCGGGGATCTCGGGTAGAGGATAGGTGGAGGGATCTTGTTGATTCATAAGTGCCCTAACGGGTGCCATTGTTTATGTGCGTGCTTTTTCAACATCCGACCTGCTTGCGGGCCAAACTGGACAACATGTATGTCCCAGATTAGGGCAGGGGTGATCACTAAACGGCTACACTGAAAATCCTTGCGTTGCCTAAAAAGCAGCGATGTGCATGTGCAGCGGGCTTGTCGGTTAACTAAGATTTTTTTAGTGTGTAAGCTTTCATATCATTCATCTCATGACATATATATATATATATATATATATATATATATATATATATAGGCATACTTAACCTCAGAGTACAAGAAATACATACGTTTTAACTTATGTATCTGTTAGGATATTCAGCAAATATCCTATGAGAATTATTTTCGGAAGTCTAATTCTATTGGTCAATTCCTAATGGTCAATAATATGGTCGACCGAACTGTCAATGTCACAGACCCAGAATGACATAGCTCAAAATCGTTTGTAATGGCGCCGGTGCATTTATTCTTTGTGTTCTCTCTTAAATCCTGATCTTCTGGATTCTTCAACCCCTCTAGTTTTGACTTTCTAAACTTATCTCACTACTGAATCATACTTCTTGAATAATAATATCTTCTAATCCTAACCTCTTCGATTACTTCTAATACCTTCTACTACCTGTACTACTACTATCGGATTTGAATTGACAATTATATCTCTGTATGCTAATAATGTGGTATGTGGCAACATGAACTGATGTACGTACGTACTTATGAAGTTCTACGTTGCATCTGACTGACTGACTAACTGACTGATTGAATTCAATGCGAACAAAATCTTCACTCTGAAAGCAATATACAATTGCCTCGTCTCTAACCATTAAATAACTCAACCAATTACATAACAGTGAATGGTAAAATACAAAATTTTACCAAAAAATCACCATTTCAATGAACTATCATCTATCATCTATCATCATCATCATCATCATTGGCTTACCTTAATAATCCTTCCCAATAAATTGGTGGCAATAGATAAGTTTTAGTAAAATAAAATAAATAACGTTCTTTCCCTTGATCAATTGGCAATGTTTCTAATGGTTGAGTTGTATAATCAAATTCAGCTATTATACCACGATTATAACCTGTCACTATAGGACAAGCTGTATATCCATCATACTTGGGAAGAAAATAGGAGAGTAAATAAATCGATAAATAAAAAGAATTAAATTGACAAAATGAATAATAATCATGTCAATGAGTTTAAAAATTAATGTACAATTAGGAATATATATGTATATGTGTGTGTAGATCAGTCACAACTTGTTATAACATACTTACTTACTTACTCAGGCCTGTTACGCCCCAATAGAGCATAGGCCCCTCACCAGTTTTCTCCAACCAACTCTGTCCTGGGCTTCCCTCTCCAGTTCTGTCCAATGTTTGTTCATTCCTCTCATATCTTTCTCTATTTCTCAGCGTAATGTGTTCCTTGGCCTTCTTCTTTTCCTTTTGGCTTGAGGGTTCCATGTAAGGGCTTGTCTCGTGACGCAGTTAGGTGCTTTTCGTAGTATGTGTCCTATCCACCAACTCCACCGCTTCTTCCTGATTTCCTCCTCCACTGGAATCTGGTTTGTTCTCTCCCACAGTACCTTGTTGCTGATGGTGTCTGGCCAACGAATCCGAAGTATTTTGCCTACACAAATATTAATAAACACTTGTATCTTCAGGATGATTGCTTTCGTAGTTCTCCAAGTTTCCACTCCATACAGTATAACTGTTTTGATATTTGTATTGAAAATCCTGATTTTGGTTGAAAGTTGTTTGGAGTTCCAGATGTTTTTCAACTCTAGAAATGAAGCCCTTGCTTTGCCAATCCGCGCCCTCACATCTGCATCGGATCCACCTTTCTCGTCGATGATGCTGCCCAGATATGTAAAGGTGTTAACGTTCTCCAAGGCATCTCCATCAAGAGTGATTTGATAATTATAATATAGACAAATGAAATGATTGACTCAACTACATACCATAGTAATGAGAAAGTCATGACAGTATTAAGTGATGTACAAGGCAGAACTTCGAACGCGCATACCACATTAGGATTGAGAGATGAAATTGTTAGTTCAAATCTCATAGTGTTAGAGATAGTAGAAGGATTAGCGGTAATGGAGAAGATTATGGTTTGAAGAAATTATTCAACAAGTATAATTCAGTGAGATAAATTTCAATAAAGAGAAAGATAGAGGTGATGAGGATATCAGAAGATTAAGATTTGAGAGAACACAAATAGTAAATGAACCTGCGCCATCGCACACGATTTGGAGACATGTCATTGAAGATCCCTAACAATCGGTTACTATGGTCTCATAGTTTACATCTACCAACATGACTTAGTCCACTTGTCACTGACTTTATGGATTTCTTCCATGTTTTGTTCTGGCCACCTCTAGATTTCTTCCAACCTGCCCATACACCACGTAACATAACTCGTCGAGGCAGTCAGTGGTTAGGCATTCATAACACATGTCCCAACTACCTCAAATGATCAAGATTCTGTACTTCATCTAGTGATCTGTGCTCCTTACCCAATACCCTTTTTCAAACGAAGGTATAACTTACTCGGTGGTCTCAGAATAGATAACCGTAATATCAATGGAGAGCACATAAGTATAATAGACATATGAATCAAGAATATGAGAAAAAATTAACAACAGAAAAGAAAAAAATGACGAAGACTGAACGCACTATGAGAGCCATGTTATCAAATATCTTCAATCATTGGTCATTATGATTGTACAGACCACCATATCAACTATTTGATCTGATCATATTAACACAGATTAATCCAATAATAAAGAGAATTTAGCGAATTTCCTATCCAATCAGCGCCTGATCGAAGCTTGGATAACACGATAGAAAATTCTCGTGTTGATAGCTGCATGCTGATTGGTCAAATCCAATCCAGTCGATCACGTGAATTTTCTTCCAGAAGCTTTCTCATGTAAAGGCTATAAATAGACTAGCGTTGTATTTATTTTTGCCTTCTGGCCTTCTTGCCTTCTTTGTTTTCGCCATCAACTCTGGCTTCTTATTCCTTGCTATTTTGGAATATAATCTTTCCTGTTCAACCGTGTTTTGATTTTGGGGGACTTGTCCAGTGTTTTGTGTCAAAGAATACTAAGCAATAAGATTTAGCCGGGAATTATCTAAGCAAGCGTTACAACATGGATTGATTGAAGTGAAACACTGACTCTCTTGCCTGCTGATTCAGTAGTCTGGAGTTTAAGTGTTCGCATACAAAACCGAACGAACGTCTTAACTTCGATCCACTCTTGCGAGATCATGGATGAGTACGGTTAGTGAGTTCAGTATGTAAACGAAACAGCCTCCCAATACTCCCAGGTTTCTAATGATGGTCTAACATTGATCAATTCATGATGTCAACCAAATCGATTAGACTATTTATTCCGAACTACCCTGATAAGTAAAACTTCTGGTAAGAAATGGGTCGCTTTAACGGTACTGTGATTTTTAGTCCTACGGTGGACATCAACTCTGAGTGGTAGGTAAATTCCGCGTATCATAAGTCTCACAAAAGAATATCATGGATTCTACTACCAACTACATTCTATCTAGTCTATGAAAACATTGAAGTTCGTTGAATTATTTTTTTCAAATTAAATACGACCACTAAATAGGTATTTTGATTGACGAAATCAAAATATTTATCTCAAACTGAGATTAAGCAACTAAAGAGATATGTTGAGCATTTCAATCAATCAACTGATAGCAACGTAGAACTTCGTACGTACGTGCGTACATCAGTTCATGATACTATACCACATTATTAGCACAGAGATGTTATTGTCAATTCAAATCCCATAGTATTAGAGGTAGTAAAGGTATTAGCAGTAGTCGGAAAGGTTAGGATTAGAAGATATTATTCAAGAAGTAGAATCTAATGAAATAAACTTAAAAAGAAAAAGTGATGAGGAATTAAAAAGTTTAGGATTTGGAGGGAAACAAAGAGTGAATGCACCTGCGCCATTGCAAACGGTTTTGAGCCATGTCATTCAGGGTCTCTAACCATCATATTACGGGCCCCAACCAGGTAGTCGATACCTACGGACATGACTCAGTCCACTTATCAGTGACTTCAAGCACTTGTGCCATGTTTTGGCCTGGCCACTACCAGGTCTCTCCTAACCTATTCCTACACCGCAAAATATAGCTCGACGAGACAGTCGCTGGTTAGTTAGACGTAACACATGTCCCAACCACCTCAACTGATGAAGTTTCACCACTTCATCTATTGACCTACCATACGTACCTATTCCTAACAACAGCATTGCTTACTCATATTAAGCATTTACATTCCACCCACGCACGCCCCCCTCTCTACAAACACAACACAAATTATATTAAAAATAAGACCACTACAAAACAGTCATATATAATACTCACTTCAGAAACATTTCCTTGACCACCTTTGATAAGATCGCATAGATTCTTTTCTAATGTTTCTACTTGACCAGCTATAAACACAAATAGGAGTACATAGGAAAAAAATGTAATTTTACAACAGAAAATCTATGCGTAATAGTAAAGCATTAATCTTTCAGTGTGTGTGTGTGTATGCGGGAAGGAGAGGTAAGAAGAGTTGCAGAATGATGTGAATACTAATTTAAATATGACATTAGTGAATAGTATTGTTTCTGATTGAACAGTTTTATCTGAGTTCTCACTTTAATTATGTCATCATATTTCAGTGGTGGTATTTCGTTCTCTGAGCTAGATGCGTTTTAGCTGTGGAGCTTTGATTGTTCTTCTTCTGAACAACAACATCATCAGCACAAACTTCAGGTAGCAGAAGTGAAGTATTCGAATTTCTCCACGTGTATGACCCGTAGCTTGTTCTGTTAGCCTCGATCTTGATTGATTACTGTTGAACTTTAAATCTGTCGTTGTCTGCATCCTTGTTTTGATTGTATCCCCCCTTTGATCTGTTTCTTGATCCTATGTTTGCCTATGATTTTTCTGATTGGTTAATATATTTATCAACCATAGGATCAAGAAACAGATCAAAAGGGGGATACAATCAAAACAAAGGTGCAAACAATGACAGACTTAAGCTCAACAGCAACTAATCTACCGGTCAAACGTGGAGAAATTCGAATACTTCAGTTCTTTCACAAGTTTGCGCTGCTGATGATGTTGTTGTTCAGAAGAACAATGAAAGTTGCATAACCAAAACATCGAGCTCAAAAAACGGAACACCACCACAATCATCCACCTGAGCTACAAATTTTCTCCACCAACTAAAAATTATATTTCTACACATAGATACTACTAATACTAGGATGTTCTTGGTTTCTACAAACAATTGATTATGTATTTCAGCATCAACAAGTGAATAATGCTGAAATCATCAGACA